CCCCCCCGGCTTCCCCCCAGCCCTCCGCAAGTTCCAGCACACCTCGGCAGTCATCCTGCAGCTGACGCCCGCTGGGCCCACGGTGAGGGGCAGCCCCCCAAAAACAGCTGGGGGGGCTGAGCTCTGTGTGTGTGTGGAGGGGCAGGGTCTGAGCCTGCACACGTGTGCACACGTGTGTGAGCAGGCTGCACGTGTCGGTGTGCACGTGGGGTGGGCAGGGGCCTGAGCCCCGCACACGTGTGTGCTTGAGCTGCACACGGGCTGTGCACACGTGTGGGGGAGGGAGGTGCGTCATCCCTGCACACAAGTGTGCACATGTGTGTGCACACGTGTGTGTGCCAGGTCTGCACATGGGTGTCTGCGAGCATGGAGGGGCGGGTGCCTCATCCTTGCACGTGTGTGCACACACATGAGCTTGGTCTGCACATTCAGTGTGCATACGTGTGTGCACGTGGGGTGGGTGGGTGCCTGATCCCTACATGTGTGCACACGTGTGTGCCTAATCTGTACAGGGGAGGGGTGTCCCTGTGCCCCACCCCTGCACGTGTGCTTGATCCACATGTGTTTGGATGCCTGCAGCTGTGCACACCAGCCCAGAGCCCTGCACACGCATGTGCCTGGGTGTAGCTGCTCCATGCACACGTGTGTGCAAGCTGGTCAGATTCATGCGTGTGTGTGTGTGCATGTGAAGGCCTAATCTGTGGACCTGTGTGTGTGTGCATGTGTGCCCTAGTCTGTGCACGTGGGCTTAATCCATGTGCCTGATGCATGTGCATGCACATGTGCCATACAGCCGTGCATGTGTGTGTGCACACATGCTTCAGGCCCATGCACATGCATGTGTGTGCATGTACCTGGTCTGTGCACGTGTTTGCAGACATGTTTGCATGATCCATGCATATGTGTGCACATGTGCTAGATCCACGTGTGTCCGTGCATGTGTGCACTGGATCCATACACGTGGATGTGCACAGGTTTGCCAGCTCTGTGCATGTGTGCACACGTGATCCACACGTGTGTGTGTTTGATCCGTGTGTGTCTGACCCGTGCGTGCACACACCCCTGCCAGATCCACGCACACGTGTGTGTGCACGTATGTACCGGGTCACACCCACGTGTGTGCACGCCAGCTCAGGCATGTGTGTGTGCACGCGTGTTTCACTCGGGCACGTACGTTTGCACACACGCCTCCTCCACACCCCCCCTTCTAACCCC